TCTAGATGAAGAGAAGTGTCAAATGAATTTCTTAGTGTTTGGCTGAGGACATTTTATACTTTGCTAGCATGAAATTGACGTACTTGCTTTGATGTATCAAAATTTTGGCTGGATTTTGAGACCTAGAAGAAAGTTAGTTCTCCCATCAATACTCATTTCAAAGGTACTTTTCCTGAGATCACATAATTCAGTGTAGACGTTTTGTGATGTGGCCCTAAAATCTATGTCATCCACGTATGTTTGAACAATAAGGAGACCTAACGAATAATGCTTAAGGAAGAGAGTTGTATCTATAGAGCCTCTAGTGAAGTTGTGTTATAATGAAAGGTACTTAATCTATTATACCATGGCCTAGGAGCTTGTTTTAGTCCATACATAGACATGAGCTGGACATAAATAATTTTCAAGATTTTTTTGCTGCTTTAGATCGAGTAACTAGTGGGGCATCAGGATCACATATGATTAGGGAAGGTGAGTGCCTTATCAGTTGGAGTTGATGGTTCTAGGTTTTGGGAGGTGGATTCTATTATTTTGGAAAGAGGTTGTATTGCAAAGGAGTCCTCCTTAATTTGATGTGAACTTTCATCAAGTTTTAGATGAATAGATTCCTCAAAATTTTTCGGTTTTTCTATTTAAGACCCTATAAGTTTTGCTTCTGGTAGAATATACTATAAAAGTGGTCGGATTCTGATTTGAGTTCAAACTTTCCTAGTTGACCTTTTGTGTTTAAGATGTAGAAAGGACTTCCAAAGGGATGAAAGTAACTCGGATGTGGTTTCTTCACATTCCAAAGTTCATAAGGAGTGTTTTTTTAGCTTACTTCTAATAAGTACTCTATTGGTGTAGTTGGCAGTATTGACTACTTCTGCCTTCAGATTTTGAGGTATGTTATATCTTTGGATCATGGTTCTTCCTATTTCTTCTAGATTCTATTCTTTCTTTCAACCACCTCATTTTGTACGGTGTTTTTGTGAGTTGAGAAGTTATGTTCTCTTTCTAAATTGTCATAGAATGCTTCAAACGGATGACTATCGAATTCTCCTCCATAATCACTCATAATTCTTATTACTGATAATTCTTTCTTTTTATGTATTTTAGTGATAAAGGTTTTGAATTCAGTGATAGTTTCATCTTTGTGTCTTAAGAAACAGACACATGTATACCTAGAGAAGTCGTCTACCAGAATGAAAGCATAATATTTTTCTCCTAAACTCTTGGTTTGGAGCTATGAGATGGCTTGACAGTATGGCTAGTGAGCCACCTGGAATATTGACTTATGAGTAGAGGTGGCAATTAGAATCCATATCCATGAATCCAATAAAATCCATCCACCAAATTATCCACCCAATCCAATCCATTGATCCAAATCCAATTGGACTGCAAAGTTTGATTTAGTATATATAGTTTTTATAATGTATTTCGTACCTAATATTTATTTTTTATCAAAATATAATTGAAAAATTACGTTTTGGTACTTACAATTTTTCATTATGACATTTTAGTGCCTAAACTTTTCAAAATTTACATATTGGTCTAAGGCTTGGATGTCATTTGAATTCATGGATCAATCCACCAATCCATTTGATGCAATCCATTTGATGTATGGATCCACCATTTATAAATCCAATCCAATTGCCACATCTACTTATGAGTGAATCGATTTATAATTTATGGTTGCCTAATTGCCTTGTTTGTAAACCATTTGTTTGTTAGATTATGCATCTCACTATATATAATGTTTAAGACTTTGAGTATATGTATCATAAATTGTTTAGATACTAATACAATTAAATAAAATGATATGAATGAATAAAATTTGTGAAATGAATAGGGGTGTTAGTCGATGCGGTTTCGGTTTAACCGCACCGAAATATCGGTTAACCGTAACCAAAATTGTCCCAATATCACTAACCGAAACCGATAGAGACTTTGGTTAACTTAAAACCGCAAACAATGGTTTCGGTTTTCCCTTGCGGTTAACCGAAACCGTAGGTTCTGGTTCACTTTCTCGGTTTTCGTTCAGAAACCGACCACCCAAAACCGAATTTCAACCACTTTTTTTAATGATTCACCCTCAATTTTGAGTGACCTGCTTTTGTTTCAGCCTCTGTAATCACACACCATAAAGTCATCTAAATCAATTGAACATAAAGCCTAAAGCAACCACACAATTCAACCACAACTCCACAACATAAAGTCTACATGCCCACAATTCAACCACAAGTCACAATCACAACAAGACACAAATAACAAGTTCATTATCTCCAAATCATCAACCTAAATGATCCGAGGATCTCGCTCCAATTCATCTAGCCCATAATCATCAACCTAAGGTTCACTCTATCGAGTGCAAAGGGGATTTAGAGAGGGGTGACTTTCGAGTTCTAACTCTTAAAAACATTTGAGACTCTTGATGGAGGGTTGTTTGCAATAGGTGAGAATTGGGATGTTTGGAATTGCAACTTTGATTGGTTTTGAATCTTACAACTTTCTCCCTTAGCCAAAGTAAAAAACCATGTAGTCACACTAGTAGGCGGTTATCGGTTTTCTTATCGGTTAACCGCTAACCGATTAGCGGTTAACCACTAACCAAAATACTACTAACCGAAACCAAAATCAATAAGGAAGTAGCGGTTATCGGTTAACCACTAACCGACTTTATCGGTTCGGTTATCTGTTAAAACCGATAACCGACTAACCGTTTATCACCCCTAGAAATGAATATATGATACATGAGCTCTAATCGATCTCACAAGGTGATTGATGAGTCGACCTCGAATAGAGCTAGTGAGATTATTAATGAGTCGAATTCAACCTAAGTTTGAGTCAAACACAAGTCAAAATTTTATTTGATGAATCAAGTTCAAAATAGAATCGTCTATTGACAAGTTGAGTTCAAATTAGACAAAATACACTTGTATAGCCAAAACTTTGACGGTTTTGCCAAATATAGCCACTTTGGCGAAATACCAAAAATAGCCACTTCCGTCCAATTCTTTAACGGTGTAACTTAACGTGCTGACATGGTATATTTTATTCAAAAATAATATGAGGTGGAAATCAATCAAAGTTTATTCATTTATTTTTATTGTTAAATAAAAAATTATTAAAAAACAAAAAAGACTCCTTTATTCTCCTCTCCTCCTCTTTGGTTTACTCTTCTCCAGCACTATTCCGAAAAGCTTCTTTTCAGCGCCGTCGCCGATTTCCTTCTGCATCAACACCCGAAGCTCCAGGAAGACGGCGCAACAAAGAAGGTCGTTCAGTATCAAAATGTCGAGCGATTTATCATCGTTGTCCCAATTGCTGTCTCACTCCATCACTCTGCCCCGTTCCAATTGCAGAAGGAGAAGCCCCGACGACAACAGTGGTGGGTCGCAAATTCAGTCTCAAATTTGGTCACGACAGGGATGGATCTGGCCACCATCTTCCGCCGTGCGCTCTCTCCCTCCAGATTCGGCGATTCGAGCTCGCTCTCCGCACCCACCTCTTCTGTCGGAGAGGTATAGCTTCGTTGGTAAATCCGACATCGATCCCGAGCACGACGCGGCGCCGCCCAGAACAATAGAAGACTTCCAATCGGTCACCACTGTTAGCTCGGCGGCGGCGGTGCCATTCGTGATATTTCCTCTGATTTCGCCTGCTAAATCAATCTTTGATTCCACTTTGTCGGCGATCAATCGGAGTCCAGATCCATTCTCGTGGTTTGCTCTTTCCAAGCTACTAGTCCATGGGGGTTTTCTTGGTCTAGTGAATAGGGAAGAAGGGTTCTGGGTTTAGCGGTGGATGGACTGCAATCTGAGGGAGGGAGAAGGGCGGTGGTTCATTATGTTGGGGAAAAGGGAAGAGGAAGAAGATGGAGGGCGAGAGGGGAGTAGGAAGCATTTTAGATATTTTTTTTATTTTTTACATAAATAATTAAATATTTTAATATAAAATATGACGTGTCATTCACGTGTCCATTGAGTCTGAGTTGTCGATTATGTGTACGATGAGTTGACATCTCACTAAGCACACCGTTAAGATAATTGACGGTTTTTCTGACGCCGTTAAAGTTTAGAACGAAAATGACTATATTTGTCATGCAACATTCAAATTTCTGGCTAATTTCTGTATTTCTCAAAAAATGACTATTATTGTCACAAACATAAAAGTTTTGGCTACACAAATATATTTGCCACTCTAGTTGTAAGTTGTAACCTCTGCCAAAGTCTTCTTATGACTCATGAGTAGGGATGGCAACAAAACCCGAACCCACGGGTACCCACCCGACCCAACCCGGTCAACGCGGGTAAAATCCGTGTTGACGGGTTTTGGGCCGGGTTTGGGTTTAGACCCGTTCACTATTCAACGGGTTGGGTTGGGTTTGGGTTTAGGTAAACCCGGCCCGTGGGTACCCGCCCACCCATATAATTAATTTTTTCGGTATATGTAATATTCTAAACAACTAATCTTATTTATGTTTGTGGAGACATGTCTAATTTTTTCTTTTTAATTGTGTAGAATGAAGTTGATGTTATGGAGTGGAGAGTAAAGAAACTTAATTGAAAGGAAGAAGCTTTCAATTAAACATGTTATTTATGGAAAATTTGTGATTTGCTTCAATTTTTTTGAGTTTTCTAGATTGGTGTTGAACAATTTGTATAGTTAATTTGTGATTTGCTTGAATTTTCTAGAATGGTGTTTTATATATGGATAATTTGTATTGAGAGATTGATATTTGACTTTAATTTTGATAAAAACTTGTAATTGTAAATTTTTTACGACAAAACCCGTGGGTACCCATGAACCCGCGGGTACCCAACGGGTTGGGTTGGGTTTGAGTTTTTCAAACCCAGCGGGTTTTACCCCGGGTTTTTTTCAAAGATAAACCCATGGGTTTGGGTTTGGGTTTGGCAAAACCCGACCCAACCCGACCCATTGCCATCCCTACTCATGAGCTCGAAAGTAAAAGAACCCGCGGAAAGAAGAAAAGGGAAAAAACTTCAAACGTGTTATATGATATGAAGGCCTAGAGGGTTTGAGTTGAGAATCATCAGTGCCTGGGTGTTTTCAATCCCGAACCCAGCAGCAGTGCAACCCCTCTCTCTCTCCATGGATGCCGCTTTGCCTACCGGCAACCAGTCGCCCAGCAGCGCGGTCGGTCGTCGCCCCACCTGCAACAAGGCCGTCTCTTACTTCAAGAAAACAGTTCAGTCGACTGATTTCTGCAAAACCCTCAACTCTCCTAGCAAAATTGCTCTTCGTTTTCTGACCGACTCGCCCTGTGTCTTCTTCTTTGGACAGGTGACTTTGCAGGACTGGTGGCTTATCAAAGCCGACCAGGACTACGAGGGAAAGAGGCTCGGAGTTGCAGGATTTCCTCCCAGCGGGTAAACTCCATTTTCGCCTCTTTCTTTCCCCCTTTGGGGTTTCGCCTCAACTCTGTGATTTTGTTTGTTAACCTAAAAGAGGATTCGTTAACTGTGGCAGTCAAAGAGGTTTGCGGGAGTTTCGCTCGGCACCGATTATCAAAACCTACGATGTGTTCACCCTGGAGACTGCTGATGGCGTCACTGTGCTCATCCAAGGCTTCCTGAACCGGACTCGCACTGTCCAAAACGGATTCCCTATTGAGGTGCTAGCTTGCTTTTTCTTTCCCTTCATCGGTTATGGTTATGTATTAGAGTGTATTGTCACTTTTGAGAATGTTAGGTTTAATGGAGTTGAAATCGTAGCAAATTCGCTTGATGAACCGTTGGCTGATATAACACAGTTGATGTATATGACTGGAGTTGGGATTGTTTCCCCTTGTACCTGTGGGCACACTAGCTGAGCTTTTACGATTAGCTTTCATAACTTCTCCTTTTGAATGTTCTTTACTTTCCCCTCGCTCCCTCAGGCCACAAATAGTTTCTTGTTGGGCTTTCCTTTTTACTGGGAACATTGTGCCAAAAGGTGGGTTGAAGATGCATATAGCAATGAAGTTCACATGACGAAAACCTCTGCAGATCCAGGTAATTACTAACTAGTCAGATTGGTCGACCCGGGGAAGGGGGAGGATAGCATCACTAAACCCTGTTTTGATTTTGTTAATCTTGTTGATTTACTGCTGTTGCAGATATGCAATCCGCGGCTGCAGAGTCTACTCCAACTGCTGACAAAGATAATTCTAATGTTGAAGTTGTGAAAGATGGTCCATATCCCCCATCCCTGAACTTCGACATCAAGGCCTTGAAAAGGTGTCCATTGCACAGTCCTATAACGAGATCTAGAAGTTCTGCCTGTGAAAAAGTGATCACCAAAAAACATTCCAGCGTGGAAGGCACTTGTGACACTGTGTATCATGATGGTTCGAGTTCTTCCCCTGAAAGAATTATTGACAAGTTAGAAAGCAACAAGAGGAGTAAGAAGAGGTCTGTCCGAAACTTAAACAGCAAGGAACCAGTATTGTCCTTAGGGTATTCAACCTTTACCAGCCCTTCTGCTCCCGAAGAAGACTCTGGTTTTGAAAGATCCGATGTGGACCATCTGAATGTGTTAGAATTGAACCAGAAGAAGCCTGCAAAAAGTTATGACAGTCCACGGTACGGATATGCATTAAGGAGTGGGGTTATAAACAGGTCAACAACTTCCTTGCTTCAAGTTCCCGAGCTGACGTCAGGATTTAATGGTGAGAAAGAAAGTGGTGCATCTGCATCTCCAGATGCTGGCAAGTTCAGTCATCCAGAAGTTGATTCAAATAATGGTAAGTGTACAGTGATCGAGTCACTAGTGCAATCACGCATAGCGGCTAATTTGGATATTCCATCTGTGGCAGAAAGCATAAGAACGTGTGTGTACCCAAATATTGATGAACCTGTTGACTTGAAGCAACAAGGGAATTCTAGATCTAAAAGACGGAAATCCAGGTCAAAGTTAGCGAGCCCTAAATATCTGAGCAAAAAGAAAGCATCTAGATATGCAGTCAGGCAAAACAAAGAGTTGCCATCAGAGTCAGCGAAGCCTCACCTTGATGAAGAAGGGAAGCTTGGAGCTGTGCATAAAAGAACTATTCCCTTATCAAGCAAAGCGAAAAATTGTAAGTCAGAGGTAGGAGCATCTAGAAGGACAAGAAATTCAACAAGGAAAGAGAGGCATGAAAAGCTTAATGTTAAAGCTGGGGATTCTTCTGGTACAACAAAAGTCAAAAAGAGAATTTTCTTTGAAACTCCGGTAAGTTGCTTACTGGTGGTTTATTTCATCGAGATTCGTCTTTTGAGCAAATAAATTTGTGACTGCGAACTGCTGATAGGCAATAGCTCCTCATTTGCATAGTGTCCTTCTGTTACCTTGACGTGGTTAGTAAGTGTATGCTCTGGTTTACACTATTGGCTTGCCCCTTGTGGGGATCTAATCCTCCATTTGTATTGTCTGTTAGGTTACTCCAAAGACAGTGGAAGGAAAATCAAGGTCTCGTCTGCACTCTCCGGAGTCTTTGAATCTCAAAAGATCCAGATCAGGTGAGCTTGCTATGGAGTAGTGTAGTCTTCATCGTTGTTTGGCATAATCTTTCTCTTGGTTTCTGAATGCTCTTTACATTCAAAACTAGGCTGTTTCGTTTTATTCAGATGCTTCAGTACTCTCTTCTTTTGTTGATGCATTGTAGGCAGACTGCTCTTACCTGCCGTACGCTTCTGTGGCAATCAAATTCCAGTTAATGATACGGTTCCGTCTATCCTAAAGTCTTACCTTGGTTGCTTACATTTGCCATTTCTGTTTGGCATTCGATTTGCATACTATATTTGCCCATGCTATCTTTTCAGACTGGAAATGTTACTGGAATTCTGGAACAAGTGGATACCGTTCAGCCATATAGAGGTTTGTCTCTCCACTAATCGGTTCTTCTTTCTTGTTGCCTTTGCAACCGTTAAATTAGTTAGTTAGTAGTGCTCCTTGTAAACCAATCACAGGACGGCCTTCTTATTCTGGTTACAGGAACTAGATCCGAGCCTCCGAAGAGAAAACGGAAGACCAGGTAGTTAGCCTATATGCCAAATTCTGAACCTCTACCCGGGTCAATCTGTTGATGCTATTGCATAGAATTGTTGTGATTTCCGCCAAGTTTACCGTCAGATAAGAACAGTTAGTCGCATGTGCCAATCTGTGAATCTGTAATGTGTACATCGCAGACAATCCTACTGCGTTTTGCTAGTCAGTTTGCTATAATATCAATGTACAATTGCAAACTCTAGGATGTGTTATTGGTAACTACATCTAAAAAATTATCAGATGTTACGTGTTACCTTAATATGTTGTGATAAATAGATTTAACATCGAACTGGAAGAAGAAAAAAAGAACATTTAAAAGGCTGAAATGTGTTGGGAAATCTATTAGTCAATCCTCTTGTACCTCCCATTCCTTCACAAACTTGAAGCCCAGCGTTTGTATTCCAAAAGGTATAAGATACGAAGGGGAGATATTGGGAAGTCGACAAGAGCAGAGAAAGAAATAGAAAAAGACAACAACCTTTTGCCCAGAAGTCTCCGTAAAGATGATGGAATGTTTGAAAAGAAGGATTTCTGTCAAGACCAAGGTTGTCAACTAGTGGGTTGAGTTGTTTTGATTCTGACATGGTGAGAAAAACATTTAGTACACACTCAGCTAGTCGATTTGTTTTGACCCTGACTTGGTGAGAAAAATGTGCCGTACACACCCGTCGGGTCTGATAAGAAATTTTCTTCATTAATTTAATTATGTGTTTAATGTAATTAGTTGAGTTAGTGGCTAGGTGGTTCCTCTTTTGTAGACATGTTTATGTTCAAGAGTTGGTATTTAAACCATTCTCCTAAAGAATACAAACTACCTCTTCCAATCACTTACATGGTATATGACCAAGTGCCCCGATCTCCTTAACCTACACGTCTTTCTCTGCGTTCCCAAACAACATCTCTCTCTCTCTCTCTCTCTCCCATTCTCGATTTTTTCTTAACCTAGCCACTCCCGTCTACCTTTTCTCCTCCAACAATTTTAACCATGTCTTCCAATACTGGAGAATCCGTTCTCAATCTTGATGAACCAAACACCATAATCACTTAAACCCAGCCTCAACTCCCTACCAAGCTCAGGACAATTTCCCTACTTGGCGGGCACAACTCATGACACTTCTCTGCGGTCTAGATCTTCTCAAATTCTTAGACAACACTCATCTGCAGCCCGCTGCCACCACTCCTGCTGCTGAATGCATCCGGTGGTTCCGACAAGATCAACTTCTTCTCCATGCTATTCTCGCATCCATGTCGCCGACTATCTCTCCATATGTTTCTGCCGCACGCTCCTCTCATGAAGCCTGGTCGACTTTAGAGAGGATGTTTGCTAGCCAATCCTGACAGAGGGTCATCATTCTCAAAACAAAGCTCAGTCGTGAAACTCAAGGTAATCACCCGGTCTCCGTTTATCTTCAATCGATGTGCACCATTGCTGCTGAATTAGCTCTTGCTAATTCTCCTGTTTCACCCGAAGACATGATCCTTCATGTCCTACGTGGCCTTCGTGAAGAATATGACCAACTCTCTGCTGCGATTCATGCCCGTGACACCACCATAGTGCTCAGAGACCTTCACGATCGCTTGTCGATTTTGAAGCTGATCTTGTTGTTGTCCGCGTGCCTCACTTTGTGGCCTCTCCCACCACTGCATTCTCCTCTGCTCGTGGTCGGCCTCATTCCCCGATGGTTTATCACAACTCCGGCATCCCTCATCGTCCCGCCTCCCCTGCTTCTTATGGCTACGACGCTCACTCTCGGCGTGAATCCAGCCCGCGTGCTCTTCCTCGGGGCCAGTCTCCTTCCCGTGCACCCTCTTATTATCCAGGCGCAAGCTCAACACCATCACTTCTCGGTCGTCCTCGGGGTTTTTGTCAATACTGCGATAAGCCCAGGCATTCGGCTAAGGACTGTTATCGTATGCGTGGTCGTCCGCAAGCACATTACTCCACTGTCGCCTCCTCTTATGCTAGTTGGCTCGTCGATTTGGTCGCCACAAATCACATGACTCCTGACCTCGACAATCTCTCCTTGTATACAGACTACAACGACCCTGATGAGGTTCTTATTGGCAATGGGTTAGGTCTGCATATCACTCATATTAGTCACTCCTCTCTGTCTACTTCTGTGACGCCCTTATCTCTTCGTGATGTGATCTGTGTTTCTGCTATCAAACGCCGATTATTGTTTGTTGCTCAATTGTGTAAATCTAATATGATGTATGTGGAATTCTTTTCTGATTGTTTTGTTGTGAAGGATCTAGCCACAGGGGTGCATATGCTACGCGGCCGGATTAGGGGGATATCTATGAGCTGCCGGTCACAACCCAACCTGTTCGACTTGCCTTAACTGTCGTGAAGAAGCAATCATCCAGTATCTGGCACAATCAACTTGGCCATCCCTGCTATCTACCTCATAAATCGCTTGCCATCTACCTCTCTCCATGGTGCTACCCCATTCTATTCATTATTCAACGAACACCCAAATTATCTCAAGCTTCGTGTTTGCTGTGTTTGCTACCCCTGACTCCATTCCTACTCCCCTCACAAACTTGCCCCTCGATCTCGTCGCTGCATATTTCTTGACTGGTTGTGTTGGCGGCGTTGGCGTAATCAACTTGTTCGCCGTCATTGGAGGAAGGATCGAGCAAGGAGTTGGAGTGGTGGAAGTGAGGGCTACGAGATGGTAGTCGTCAGCTTGTTGCTTGTTGCTCAATTGCTTGGGCAACTCATCTCAATCGAAACTTGTAGAAGGGTCGTTTGGCTGAATGGGTCAACGTTATCAAAGGTGACGCTAAGTTGGGATTTGTTGCAATGGAGATCATGGTTAATGGAGGGTTTTTTCCACTGTAATTGAGGTTTTTTTTTGTTAGAACGAGGGTTATTGATTCGAGCCTAATTGCACATATTTTGCCCCGGTTTGCTTAGATGTTTGTGCCAAATTCGGTCATTAGAGGTTGGTTTTACGTGAGGTTCTTCGTGTTTGAGTGCTTTTCAGGATTTAACAGGTGGAACCAGCCTCGGAGTCGAAGGATTGGCGAAAAGGATCGAAAACCGGGAGAAGAAGTGAAAAAATGCAAGTTCACGGCTAAAGGCAGGAGTTCACGGTCGTGCAAGACCGTGAAGAAGGGGAGTTGACCGTGAAGCGCAAGGCGTCCAGAGCCAAGTTGAAGGTGACTGACGCAAGGCGAGTTCACGGTCACTAAGACCGTGAACACAAGCAGTTGCCCGTTAACTGCCATGATCGATGCGGAGCATTTTGGCGCACGGCGCGAGTTCACGGACACGTTTGATGGTTCACGACCGTGAACTCAGCTCTTCTCGGGTTTAAAAGCTGAGCTGTAAGGAAGAGAGAGGGGAGAGCCACTTTTGTGAGAGAAACACCTTCTTCTGCATTTTAGTGAGAGAAACAGAACCAAAAGAGAAGAAGAGGTTAGGGCTTGGCTTCAAAGGATGTTTTGGGAAGATTCCCCAAGGAAATCCTAGCTCAAGGTTGAAAAAGAGAGGAGGCATCCCCAAAAGATGGTTTCCACCTTTTTCTCCTTTGTTCTTCCCACTTCTTCCATGGAGTCCTCCTCCCACTTGGGTGTAGTGAAACCCTAAACCCTGCCATGTAATTTTCTTGTATGTGGTTTGGATGATTGATATTGGGCATTGTTCAATTTAATGTTTGAGGTATTTTTCACCATGATTTTGCATGCTTGTGCTTAGAAATTTAGGGGTTGTGCATATTTTGTGCTTAGCATCCTAGGGATTGTGCATAATTGTGCTTAGCGCCCCTAAGTTTGTGCATTTAGGTGCTAGTAATCTAATTTGCCAACTTAGCCTAGTTTAGAGAGGAGAATCCCCCTCTTTAAGGGAGACTTAATTGAGTTGGTTTTCCTTCCGCTTTCCAAGCCACCTAAACTAGGTTGAGTTAGGGTAATCCTCAATATTGAATTGAACAAGTCGATTAATCGTGGTTAAACCGTCCGACCTTAGAGTTGAGTGAGGAAGTAAGCCGATTACCGATTGTCTAAACCGAGAGTGTCGAGTGACACGACCTTTCATCCTTACCTCGGTTTAGCAATCGAGACTGTGGTTTCTGACCACATACGCTTTCCTCCGCGGTTCACGATTAACATGCCCAAGGCAATCGTTCCAACTCACGTAGCATGGTAGTGGTTAGGGGGGAAGCGAAACCCAAGTGACTTTCCCACAAAAGAGTTTTCAAAACCAAATTACTTTTGCTTTCTTTCATTTCAATTGGCAAACCTTTAAACCAAAGTTTTATCGCTAGATAATGATTTCAACAACCGAAGTAGGGGTAGACGGACCGGCCCGGGTCGATATATAGATACTTGCCCTATACTGCACCCAATTAGAGTTTAAAAACTTGGGCTCTAATTGAGATTTAATTGTGGTGTAGTTTCGTGCGAGTCAGTTATTATGGCTGTAGAGCAAGGTTGTTAACACAAATTGGCCCGTCGGCCCGACTAGAGGACTAGGTGGTGGATTGATGGGTCAAGTTTTAAAAAAGGGATTGTTGTTTTAAGTTACTTAAAAAAATTGGGCGACCAAATCAGCAATTACCGTATGGTTTGTTTTGTTAATGAACATGAATTATGGGGTCAAGACTGTAATTCCAGGCATAAGAGATATTAATAATAAAATTTTCCTCACCTTTATCTCTCGCCTGGGGTTGCAGATCACTAAATATCCCAATCACTATCTCTTTCTTTTTCTTTCAGAGATGTTAGTGTTTATTTCCTCTCTTCCTCTCCTTCCAAAATAGCGCTTCAAAGAAGCAGGCTAGCCGTGGCTAGAGGCGGCAGGGCAGAGGCCGACTTGTGGTGTGGTTATGATGTTGACGACGACGGGGTGCCGGGGGGGGGGGGGGGGCAGATAGGCAAAGCCAGTGCGGTGACAAGAAGCAACCGACGCTCTGGTTACGACGAGGGTGGTGTGGCTATGGTGGAGATCTCAAACCCGAAACCTGTGCTAACGGGTCAACATCCCAGGTTTGTTGGGTTTTGACCGGGCCAAGGTTGGTTTGACTTAAACGGGCCAGGCCAACTCTTCAACGGGTGCCAGGTAGGGGTGTACATGGGTCGGGTGGTCCGGGTTTAGGCATTTTAATCACCCGACCCATGCACTACGGTTTGGAAAATATTAAACCCAAACCCACCCAAAAAAATCTAAACCCTACGGTTTGTTTCTAATTGGGTTGGGTCGGGTTGGCGATATTTTTAAGTAAAAACCCAACCCAACACAAAATATGTAATTATACTACATCATAAAAATATTTTATAACAAATTAAAAAATTCAAACGAATAAACCGAGGTGAAAGGTATCAAAA